GACAAAGAAGCCTTTCTTGATTGGCACAGGTAAACCTGGTTTCACGAGGCATACCTGTGCTGATCAAGAAAGGCTTCTTTGTCGGCGCGGCGTGTCCAGACTGCCCCGATCTGCCGACAAACAGCTGATCGGCAGAGCGGGGCAGCCATTTAAATTTAAATGATGCTGCAATAATTTTAATCGCAGCTTCATTTCCCTCTGCCGATCTGGCTAATCTACATGCCTCCGTCGAAGGAGGCATGTAGTCTAGACACACCCCAGGGGAGCTGACGGAGCAAGGGGAGGAGACATGGCAGTAGAGAGAAAAGGTAGAGGTTTATAAGATATTTATTAATAACGTATTAGTAATTACTGTTCTTATTCTTATGAGGAATTTATGCCATAAAAAAAAAAACACCACTTTTTGTAGAGGCGAGTCCCTTTTTTGTCTGGCCAATGAGCGCTTCATTTGCATTGTCTCTGCTGACAAAGGCTGAAGTGTGTGTGTGTGTGTGTGTGTGTGTGTGTGTGTGTTTATTTTGCAGTTGCAAGGTGAAGTCTTCAAAGTCAGAAAAGAAAAAAGTTATGATGGAGGAAGTTATAGCTTACTCATTAACAACACAGATAAGAATCTATTTAGTACCTTTAATAGCCTCTTCAAAAGAGCAAGGCTGTGCTGGGCTGGAGATTTCTTTCTTCACGTTGATATTCAGAATACTAGCTGTTGAGACAAAAAGACACTGATGAATCTTATGTATGTTACCACCTTGCAGTAACTGTGGGTCTTCAAGAGGTTTTACCCCATGTGTATTCATAAGAACGTAACGGCCAGACCAAAGGTCCATCTAGCCCAGTGTCCTGTCTGCCCATAGAGGGAGAGAACAAATGCCAATGCCAGTTGCCCCAGAGGTAGAGAACAGAACAGGGAATCCTCATGTGATCCCTCCCCTGTCATCCATTTCCATTTTTGGTGTGCATGTACCCAATGCACCGGAGTTAAGATTCACTCCACCATTAGCATCCCTTGCAAACCAGACCAGCTTCTGAGGGCATAAGGGCAGGGCACCTCCACCTTCTCTCCATTCCTTCCTCAATAGAGAATCCATATCTTGTCAGATTCCACAATAGCACAGAAAGAGGGAAGGTTGTAGACTACAGATAGGCAACATCGCAGAGCCAAAGTTACTGGGGCTTGTGTTCTTCCTTATTGAACTTAAATAAACCTGCAATCGATACCACTGTGTGAAAGCAGCATCCTGTATCAAGCTGGGATTCCCTGGCTACGTGCCATAACAAGAATGGAAGTTAAGCCATCAGACTTAATTTCTTGACAGAGCAGATTTTGCTAACCAAAAGAGCTCCCAGAATATTAACATTTCCAATGTTGATATAACTATAGAAATGCAGATAGTCCTAATAAATGTTGATCATTTCAGGTTAAAAGTAAAACATTTTGATAGTTGGTTTAAATATTGCACAGCCTAGGGGGAAACAAAGCCTTTGGGAGCAAAAGTTTCCTCACTGCTTAAAAATAATATCAGATCTAAGACTTCTGCAAGCCCCTTGGCCTGTCCACCATGTGTAGTGTCTCCTCATCTCTTCGCAAGCTTTTTCAGCACAACCAATACAATTGCTATCTGACTTCCTTCTGAGTGTTGCCTTTTGTTCAGAGAGTTTTAGGGCTCAGGATCCAAGGTGTAGACAGTTAAGCCCTAAAGCCAACTATTTGCCTAACATCCCTAAGGGTGGCTCTCCCAGCACCATCTTTATAACAATCATGAGTGTTTCCATTCCTCCCTTTAGTAAAAGAACACCTATCAGATTAGATCATCTCTGTTTAGGATGATATCTCTCTAGTAACAATGAATAGCAAATTATATGAGTTGCCAGCAAAACCAGCTTCTTTTGAAGTTCTTGTGAAGTGGTATATTAGGGTATGTCTACACTACCCCCCTAGTTCGAACTAGGGGGGTAGTGTAGACATACCCTATTTTAGGTTCTGGGACACAGAAGTGTTCTCAGCTGAGGGGAGGGAACAGGAGCCTTTCCAAGTGCTTTGGCCAGTAGATGAACTCTCACACTAGTAACTCAAAACTTTCTTAGAACGCCTTAACACTTCAGAATGCTGGTAAGGCACCCATACGTGGCCACTTTAATCAAAGATGGTATATTATTACCAAGCATGCATGCTTGTTGAAAAGCCTATTACCCGACTCCACACAGCTGCAACTTGTTAGCCCCTTTCTCTCTGTTCCAATTAGAGAAGACCTCACTGGCAATTTTTCCCATTCCCTCCCCTCATTTCTTCACTTTACATACATGTATCTGGAGTGTATGTAAATGACTGCACATCATGTGATCTTCCAGCATTGGTCACCACGTAGATCCCCACAGAAACAGGTGAGGTTATTTTCTGGTCAGGATATGGTGGTACCTTCACAATAAGATGATTCTGTATAGCAAGGAGAGAGAGAGTTCATATTAGACTGTAATTTAAAAGGTAACTTATCTAGAACAAGGCAAACCAAAGTGAAAAAAAGGGACTAGCACAAACACTAGAAAATACATGCTAGTAAAAGAAAACCTATAAGACGACAAGGTAGGGGGAGGGGCTGAAGCTATGCTTCGGTTAAAAGAAATCAACAACCATGTTGAGCTAAAGGGGCATTTGAATGTTCTGCCTCGACTGGGCTATTTGTATCATATAATGTAAACGGACTGGCAGTGGGAAGAGTGGGACAGACACACACACATCCTCGTCCTCTGGCTCTGATTCAGCAAAGCACTTAAGCACATGCTTAAATCCCACTGAAGTCAAAGGGAATTAAGCACATGTGTAAAGTATTTTGTTGAATCAGGGCCTCTGTACTGAATGAGAGCAGAGGTTCAAGTTCTGGTCTCAGGCAAACAGAACCTGAATATGACTCCAGAACACTATCTGAAATCACGATATTTACCATTTCTATGCACTGGCCAGTTACATAGAACACAGAGCTGTGAAAGAGACAGGACATTCTCTGTGAAAGACAAGGCAAAGGACAGAAAAGTCAAGGGGTTGCTTGGTAATTTTTGCATGGAAGTTTTCAGTCATTTCTAATTGCTTGCCCTTTAAAAAGGTTATGCATTGTGCTAGGTGAATGCCACAAACACCTCCCAAGATTGAGTTTCCTACTTTTTGAGATCCTTTTTATTCAAGGACATTTAGATGAGGATTTACAGGAATGTAAACAGAAAGCAAAAATGTCACAAATATCAGCACAAATAAATATTGGGTGGAGTATTCACACCAAGTGTGCTTTTGCAGCCATTTGGATAAGATGTTTTTATTTGCACAAAAGATTCAAACAATTACAGACAAATAAATGTGTGGCCATCACAACCTGATTGCTGGCAGTTCATAAATAGAAAAAGTTCTGCTGTTAATACATAGGTCATCCAGTCAGAGAACTGAAGCATCATCTGATGTGTGTAATCACAGGGCTTGTCTACACTGCCACTTCACTGCATTGTAACTTTCTCACTAAGGCGTGTGAAAAAACTCCACTACTCCCAAGCATGGCAATTTACAGCACTATAAAGCACTAGTGTAAACAGGCTCCCAGCGGTGGTTTTCTTAGAGCACTGAGACACCTCTCTCCCAGCGATGGTGTCTCAACTACCCTGCGATGGCAGCACTTTAGAAGTATAGCCAAACAGTGTGAATAGCAAATACGTGGCAGCAGAAGTAATCATGAACAATCCACAGACCCACATTTGTTCCGAAACTATTTGTCCAACCATCAGAAATAATAAATTGGTAAAAACTGTGGCTGAGAGCAATTTACCCACAGGAAAAAAGGACTACATCCAATATTACCAGCTCCAGTCAGCACTGTTTGAAATATTAATTCAGTTTTTAAACCACCTGACAGTGTGCAAAGATTAAGTCGGTTAAGGTATGCGTACACTGTAACACTATTTCGGGATACCAGAATATCCCAAAATAGCTATCCTGTATCTTAACAGCAAGCCTGTTATTTTGGGCTTGCTATTCCAATGTCCCTATAAACCTCATTTTACGAGGAGTAAGGGACATTTCAAAATAGCACTTTATTTCGAAATTTGGGGCTGTGGAGACAGCGCCAAATGATGAAATAAGCTATTTCGAAATAGCATTGAAATAAGATACGCAATTTGTGTAGCTCAAATTGTGTATCTTATTTCGAGTTATGGTGCAGTGTAGATGCACCCTTAGAGGGATATGAGATCGCTAAACAAGGAAAATTCAGCCAGACATAGAGCACAGAGAAGATATTGAGTTATCACTGGGGGAAATGTAATTCCACAGATGAAAATTGTGGGCAAAATTTCAGATTCTGCCTTTTAACTACAGGCAGTCCCCGGATTACATCAATCCGACTTACGTCGGATCCCTAGTTACAAATGCAGTCTGAAAGGAAGAACTGTAAACTGACTTAGGGTTGCAATTCACTATGAACCTGAGGAAACATCTGTGTGCTGGCAATGTGGAAATACACATCCTACATATCAAGGGCCGCGAACCAACTGCTGGGATCCAGTGAGGGAATGATGGCATGTAGAGAGACCATATGGAACCTCAACTTCACCATGAAATAACTGTGCCCATGTGGGTTCAGTATAGGTCTGAGGCCCCCTTTGGAGATCAAGAAATAGTGGAGTAAAACCCTTAGCTCCTTAACTCATGAGGAACCTCCTGCACTGTGTAACTACACCTCCTGTATAAGGAGTTGCTCGTGAGAAGGATCCTTGAAGAAGAATAGGGAAGGAGATTGGGCAAGTGGGGAGGAGGTCCCTTCCAGCCTGGCAGAGGTGAAGCTGAAAAATTACCCAGTGGTGTGGGTGGGCAAGAATGGGGAGGAGCAGGGCAGAAGGGAAGAGGGGATAAGCCCCAACCCCACACCCTGGCTGGAGCGGAGCAGGGTAAGCCCCGAGGGGATGGGTCTGGTTGCAAAGTGGGTGAGTGGACAATGAGGACCCACCTGTGGCTAAGCTCCTGTTCCCATCACAGAATTTTTCTTTAAAATTAATCCTGTGGATAAATTGACACACACACTTCACAGGAAGGGATTTCCATTTTCTGCTCAGCAGAATACAACAACAGCTTTGATTGTATCAATATTTCACTGTGCTCTCCAATGACTATTGATTACACTTAATACCCATTTCACTGAACCATCTGTAGCAAATTCTATTTGGAACAGTAATATGCATTGAATAAACTTTTTTTAGTTATAAAAAACAAAGATTCTGACTATTAAATGAATAACTGGGATCTTTCAGGTACCCCAAAAGGAAGATTTGGATATAGCATGAAACACTGAAACTTATGATCAATTTTTAATTAAAATATCAACCAAAAAAACCTTCATATCAAAAACTCCCTCTCACTTAGTATTTTCCTTTTCAAAGGCTATGTCTACACTGCAACGTTATTTCAGGATACAATAGTATCCCAAAATAGCTATCCCACGTCTTCACAACAAGCCCGTTATTTTTGGGCTCGCTATTCTGTAAACCTCATCCTACAAGGAGTAAGGGACGTGTCAGAATAACAGGTTATGTTGAACTCTGGCGCTGTATAGACAGCGCCAAATTATGTAATGAGCTATTTTGAAATGAGAGTGAAATATGATACGCAATTTGCTTAACTCAAACTGTGTACCGTATTTCGAATGACAGAGCAGTGTAGTCGTAGCCTAAGAGGGCAACTAAGTTAACTCATTCCTGTACCTTCTTTAGGCTGTTTTTCAGTTTCAAAATTGACTGCCACAATACCTGTGAGTTGGCAAAGGTATAGACAGATGCTCAATTCAACTAAAAAGCTATGGTGAGAGGCTATTAAGATTTGATGTCTAAATGGACAAAAAGTCAGTAGTAAGCAGAGTAAGTATGCACAATTATAGACTGAGTATGTGATAAATCTATATTTTTTCCTACTTTTCCCACGAAGTTAGCTAACTTTTTTATAATGTTGAATGAAAATGGAACTTTCTAGTAGAATATCCTAACCTTAACAATCACCACAAAACTATCATGCTGTGAAATTTTATGAGATAAAATGCATAGACTATAATTAAGGAAATTAAGGAGACCTTCCTGGTCTCTACTGGCCAAGATTATAAGAACAAAGTTCAGTATCATTCTTTCATCTGGAGTGATGATGCAGGGAACGTTTTCAGACATCTGAACACTGCATAGGAATAAGTACCTGATGAAACAATTCCATGTCTATTTCAGCTTCTGCTTTCCAAGAGTTTTCATCTAATGTAAAAACAAACAAAAAAACCCACTTTTATTGCACATTCATACAAAACTATTATTTTGGTGACCTACCTAGAGTTGCTATCAGTGTTCCCGCTAAGATTTTCCATCCTTGGGCAGGTTGAAATTTCTTATATGAAACACCAATATTGAAGTAGTGTGTGGATGTGAATCCACCAGTACAAACAAAAACCGTGGATATAAATATATATTTTAACTAGTCCATAGGCGTGGAAGAAAATATATTAAAACAAGGGATAATTAACAAGGGCACAATGCTTAAGACTATTTAATATGAAATTGAATACAAGAAAATTAACGCTATCCTTGGTATAGAAGTGGGTTGTGCCCATGAAAGCTCTTGATACTATTTATATATTTTCGTAAGTCTAAGATGCTAAGGGCCATTGTTGTTTAAGTTTTTTTAGTTGGAAACTAACATGGTTACCCCTCTGAGACCTTGGAGTACCTGTATCATCATCCTTTCTAACAGACAGATGCGTATTTCAAAGATCTTGCAAACACAGTTTCATCCTACACAACAGCTAGCATCACACCTAGTACTTGCTACTTCTGACTCAGAAGAGCCAGAACGTTACCAAATAGCAAAGATCTGGCCTTAATGCAATACAATTCACCATGTATTAATTAGTAACTTTTTTTTTTTTAAAGCATCTTTTTTCTTTCTTCCCGTAAGCTATTAACACAAGGGTGGGAAATAATGTTTCATGGGGGCCACTCCAAGAATTTGGTAAGTGGTCAAGGGCTGTACTCTTCCATTATTAATAGAGGAGGTGCAGGGCTCTGGGATGGAGCTTGGGTGCAGAAGGGATCTTGAGATAAGGGATTGGGAGGGAGTTTGGGTGAAGTAGGGGATCATGACCTGGGGCAACAGACTGGGGTGAGGAGGGGGTGCAGAGCCTGGGGCACGCGTGCATGAGGGGGTGAAGGGATTTGGGCTGTGACCAGGGATAGTGTATTGGGGTGCAAGGTCTGAGAGGGGGTTGTGACCTGAGGAGGGATGTAAGAGGGGAGTGTCTAGGAAGGTGTATGGCAGCTGGAGCTCTGCACCCAGCTTTCCTGAGTGCTAAGCAGGTGTAGGGCAGGTGGGGAGCCAGCTGAGAATCTTGTGGCTGGATCCAGTCTGCAGATCATCTTTTGCCCGGCCTTGGAGTAGAGGCTGGAGCCAGCTTCTCCATTTATAGCAGGCAGCAGCAGCTGATGATGATTCTGGTCCTCCAAGAGAATGACTGCCCCTCCCCCTTCCCCAGCCAATCAGCTGAGGTCCCTGCCTGTGCAGGGAGCTCTGAGCTTCTGTGGGGAGTTTTGAATCTCTGCAGGGAGCTCTAAACCACAGGGAACCTTGGTTGCTATAGTATTTGCTGCTTCATTCATTCTTGAGTGGAACAAACCTCAAATAGTAGGATTTTAAACCCAAAGATGTTGTCCTTACCCCAAGCTCCTGTATTGTTCACACTTACCAGAAATATTTTCTTGGAAGATCACTTTTGTTCCTTTAAGAAAGTTCTTGCCAATCAGAAAGACCTCTTCTTCGCCCTTCACTGAACAGCTGTGCAGACTTTTCTTGAGAATCTCTGGCACACCAGCTGGTTGAGCTATGATTGAAAAGACAGTTTAAAACTTAAAGGAACACTAATAGCGCTTGACAAAAGGTATTTCTCTTTACATAATTCCAAGCAAAGAACAAAATCATTCCAAAACTTCTGCCTCTACTTACATAACAGGTTACAAAAGTTAGCCTGAAACAAACTATTTGCTTCCAATATTTCATTATTGCATATGGAAAACACTTATAACCTCTAAAGCCTCCATTTGAGTGATATGTACTCCAAAATCACTAACAAATTATGCCCATTCCTTTTCTTGTGAAGTATCTAACTCCACAGAGAGGCAATGTGTAAATTAGATTGCAGGGAATTTCACAAAGTTAAAACTGAAGTAGCTGAAATAGTTAAAACTTCACTGAAGTTGAGATTTCACAAGTTCAGTCAGTACACGCCACTTATACTATAAAACAAGAGATAGCATCAGCTTATTTTTAAATTGACCAGTTTTTTAAAAAAAAAAATCCATTGTTTAAAATTCCAGTATGGTTTGGATTCTTTTAAAATCCATTAATTTTTTGTAAGAAGCTTTCTGCTTCTCTACTTATCAACATCTCTTTAGCAAGAGAAAAATTGAGTAGTCGTCTGATCATATATGGAAGCATTTAATCTGATTATATAAACTGTGCCTCCAAATGCACAAAGTAAGCAATCTGAAAAAAATTGTGGTATTCTAGTCAACTACAGGGAGTCCTGAGTTTAACAGTAAAGTTGGCACAACTTTTTCCACACAAAAATATTATTTTCAAATGATTAATTCCCTTTAAGGTAGTAACAGTTATCTAACGAACCACTAAGATGTATGCATGGTATTCATTTGGACATAAATAATCTTTTTTTAGTTCTGGAGAAGCTAAAAGTTTTTCCATTGCCTGAACTACACAGGAGTAATCACACAATATCATTTTGCTTTGTGTCTTCACCATGTACATGCAGATCCAAAAGCAAGTCTAAACAACTATAGGCACAACTCAGCAAAAATAGCATGTTCAAATCCATACAAGTTTCTATGACACTCACTTCGGTGACACTGAAGCTAGAACAGATTTCAGTAAAATTGTTCCCATAGTCCCTTTTCTTGTATTACATTATTACTAGCCTCTTGGCTGACACAGTGGGGATTGAACAGATGGCTACAGCGTTTTAGCAGCTCACTCTTTTAGCTCTGGAGGTCAAGAACTGCACCAACTTGTATCCTCTGTGACTCTGCATAAAGGAGGACTCAAGCACACACAAATGGGCCACAATTACACAAGCCCTCAATTCTGTGTTTCAAATGCCAATGGCTATATCTATTGCCTGGGGTGTACATATTACATTTTGTCCTTGCTATGATTCATTTCTTTGATTCTCAGACAACCCATCAGATAAGACTGTACCCAAATAAAAATGGAATGTCAACTGATGAAAGTGAAAATAAATATAAATTATAATAAAGTATTTTACTAATATTTTGAGAATAACTTAAAGCAATGCCTTCTCTCCTCTAGGATCCTAAGCGTCATTAGCAAACTTTAAAATAGAACTTTGATTGTAAGCTTCTATTTTCAATAATTTATATAAAATTCCACTTCCTAATAGATTTCCTATCCACATTCTCTACTCACCGTTTTAAGATCTTGGTGGCATAATGTTGTCAAATGAGGCCCATTTTAAGGGCTCATATTAGTCTTGTACATAGTAACTTGTTACAAGGAAAACAGGGTTACTTACCTGTAACTGTTGTTCTTTGAGATGTGTTGCTCATGTCCATTCAAACGAGGTGCATGTGCGCTGTGTGCATGGTTCCCGCAGCATTTTTTCCCCAGTGGTACCCGTCGAGCCGGCAGATCGCCCCCTGGAGTGGCGCCGCTATAGCGGAGCATAAGTACCCTGCCGGCCCTCCCCCTCCTCAGTTCCTTCTTGCCGGAAACTCTGACGCAAGAGAGGCAGGGGGGAATCGAATGGACGTGAGCAACACATCTCGAAGAACAACAGTTACAGGTAAGTAACCCTGTTTTCTTCTTCGAGTGATTGCTCATGTCCATTCAAATGAGGTGACTACCAAGCTGCCCCTACCCCGGAGGCGGGGTCGGAGTCATCCAGGAGTACCCTCACACCGACATTCATTGCAACAAGAACTTTAATGCAGAACTGTAACAGAACACAACATAAACTCAACAGAGAGATACAGCAGGAACACGACACGCTGCATGCCACTCAACCACTTCCCTTTGTTTTGTTCACAGGAGGGAACCCAACACAGCTGCACCCACGGCACAGTCCTCCCGCGCCTGCTGGGTGAGAGAGCATAATGCTTTGTAAACGTATGGGCCGAGGACCACATAGCCGCCCTACAGATCTCAAGGATCGGGACATGGGCCCTGAAGGCTACAGACAAAGTGTGCGCCCTGGTGGAATGCGCCAACACGCGAGGTGGCTCCCTATGCGCGAGAGCATAGCACTCCCAAATGCAGAAGAATATCCACCCCGACAGCCGTTGGGCTGAAACTGGCATCCCTTTCATCCGATCAGCATAGGCAATAAACAGCTGAGAAGTCTTGCGAAACGGCCTAGTTCTGTCTATATAAAATGCCAGTGCCCTTTTCGCATCAAGGGAATGCAAAGCTTACTCCCTAGGGGAGCTGTGGGGATTGGGAAAGAAAACCGGGAGGTATATGTCTTGCGACATATGAAAGGTTGACAGCACCTTGGGGAGGAACGCAGGGTGGGGACGCAGATGAACCCTGTCTGGAGAACACTAAGTACGGGGGCTCCACCGTCAGGGCACGCAATTCAGACACCTGACGTGCTGACGTAATAGCAACTATAAAAGCTATTTATAGATGCCGGCCGGGGCTCCGAGGCCTGGGAGACCACAGGTACCCCCAGGGCTTCCGGAGCCAAAGTCGAAGACCCCTTCGAGGAGGTGGGGGAAGGAGGCAAGGCCGTGAGCTCAATCAGGTCCTGAGCAGCTTCGAAGACCATGGGCACGGAAGGGCACCGAGCCAGGGTTGGCCCAGGGCTTCCAGCCCTATGCATTGCCCGCCTCTTCTTCTGAGTCCCCTTTGGAGGCCGAACAGGCGAGCCCAGTACCGGAGTGCGGCTCCGTCGGTAACCATCCTGGTGAGTTCTGCACTCGGGTGATCTCCCTCTGGAGTCCTTCACCCGTTTCGGTGCTGGGGACTGGGACCGGTGCCAGCTTCTTCTGTACCTCGGTGCGGGGAAGGTCCGACCGCGGCTCCCGCACCGACACCAGTGCGCTGCGCACCGAAGCTTTTCTGGAGGACGCGGGCTGCAGCGCCAACTCCATCAGGAGCAACTTAAGACCGAAGTCTCTCTCGCTCTTGGTTCATGGCTTGAACCCCGTGGAGATTTTCCAGGCGACCACAAGGTGAGCTTCCCCCAAACACTTAAGACGCTGTTCATGGGGGTCTCCTTTGGGCATGGGTTTAGTGCACTCCGTACAAAGTTGGAAGCCCTGCGGGCCTGGCATCACCATCCCCCTATAGGGAGGGGGGTTCAGGGAGCTAACCAACTCACTTAACTACTTAACCTAACTATGCAAACAGAGAACTGCCAACAGCGATGAACAGACCCTGGGATTAGCACAAGATAACAGCTCCAAAGACATCACAGGCGGTAAGAAGGAACTGAGGAGAGGGAGGGCCGGTGGGTACTTATGCTCCGCTATAGCGGCGCCACTCCAGGGGGCGATCTGCCGGCTCGACGGGTACCACTGGGGAAAAAATGCTGCGGGAACCGTGTACGCAGCGCACATGCACCTCGTTTAAATTGATAGGAGCAATCACTCGAAGAAGAACTGGGCTTTAACCACTCCAAATCATTTAACGGATTTTTCTAACAGAGTTAAATTGGCTTGCTTAGACAAAAGCAGTGTTTTGAATAGGGATGTGAATGTTTAACCGATAACCTTAACTGATGAGGCTTAAGAAGTGGGGGCTGGCAGTAGGAGGCTGTTTCCATCCCACAGGGGGCCTGCTGCAGACAGGGCCTGGAGTGACCCCTCTACCCACAGCTCCCCTTTAATCGGTTAACCAGTCAAACAATATATGTTTAACAGGTTAACAGATTAAATGGGATTTCACATCCCTAGTTTAGAAGAGGTTTAATTTATGCTCAGTATTACACATCAAAACTACTTGGGATCTAAATTTCTCAAGGTAGTGAATGTGTCTACTTGTGATTTTTCTGCAGTGCCAGGGAGACTGCCAGCTCTAATAGATATACCAATAGCTCTCATTAGTACAACTGTATACAATTAAATAAGAACATTTTAAAGCTTTATATTAAGAAATAAAAATACATACACATGCAGAAAAAAGGTACACTGCCAACAAGTCACATTGTTAACATACTGGAAGAATATGTTTACAAGCTAAAGTAACTCAGTATAATTGATATACTACTATTGTATGTTCAGTAATACTTGCTAGACTAGAGGTTAGCAGTAGTAATGTTTCTGGTTAAAGGGAAAGGTGAGAACACAGAAAAATAAAACAAGATTACAGCCAAAAATAAGGACATCTTCGCACTGAGTTTGCTTTTTCCATGGCGTATTTGACCAATTATTTTGATGCATTGTTTATAATAGTACAGATAAGTATAAAAATGTTATTTACATTTTATATATGAGACTAAATTTACATACAACTAGGTACTAGTAATCCTTAAATAGTTAATATATTGGTATTAATGTGGTCTCCTCACCTCAAAAAAGATATTTTGGCCTTAGAAAGGGTTCAGAAAAGGGCAACTAAAATGATTAGGGTTTTGGAACAGGTCTCATTTGAAGAGAGGTTAAAGCTACTGGGACTTTTCAGTTTAGAAAAGAGGAGACTAAGGGGGGGGATATGACAGAGATCTATAAAATCATGAGTGGTGTGGAGAGGGTGAATGAAAAAAAGTTATTTATTAGTTCCCATAATAGAAGAACTAGAGGACACCAAATGAAGTTAATGGGTAGCAGGTTTAAAACTAATAAAAGAAAGTAGTTCTTCACACAGAGCATAGTCAACCTGTGGAACTCCTTGACAGAGGAGGCTGTGAAGGCTCGGACTATAACAGTTTAAAGAGAAGCTAGATAATTTCAAGGGGGTTAGGTCCACAAAAGGTTTTATCCAGGGGATAGAAAAGGTACCCCTGGCCTCTGTTTGTCGGAGGCTGGAGAAGGATGGCAGGAGACAAATCGCTTGATCATTGTCTTCAGTCCACCCCCTCTGGGGCACCTGGTGCTGGCCACTGTCGGCAGACAGGCTACTGGGCTACCTTTGGTCTGACCCAGTACGGCCATTCTTATGTTATATTAATGTAATCTTTCTACCTATACATAACTTTTGTTTTCATACAACGTTCAATTTATTTGGCATTTAAGAGACCAGTACTCAGGATTTTAGACCTACAAACACACAAAAAAAGTTGTGGTGAATCATAGAATACTAGGAGCAGAAGGGACCTCGAGGGGTCATCAAGTCCAGTCCCCGCCCTCATGGCGAGACCCAATACTGTCTAGACCATCCCTGATAGACATTTATCTAACCTGCTCTTAAATATCTCCAAAGATGGAGATACCACAATCTCCCTAGGCAACTTATTTCAGTGTCTAACCACCCTGACAGTTAGGAAGTTTTTCCTAATGTCCAACCTAAACCTTCCTTGCTGCAGTTTAAGCCCATTGCTTCTCCTCATATCCTCAGAGGCCAAGGAGAACAATTTTTCTCCCTCCTCCTTGTGACACCCTTTTAGATACCTGAAAACCGCTATAATGGCCCCTCTCAGTCTTCTCATTTCCAAACTAAACAAACCCAATTCATTCAGTCTTCCTTTATAGGTCATGTTCTCTAGACCTTTAATCATTCTTGTTGCTCTTCTCTGGACCTTCTCCAGTTTCTCCACATCTTTCTTGAAATGCAGTGCCCAGAACTGGACACAATACTCCAACTGAGGCCTAATCAGCGCAGAGAAGAGTAGAAGAATGACTTCTCGTGTCCTGCTCACAACACTCCTATTAATGCATCCCAGAATCATGTTTGCTTTTTTTGCAACAGCATCACACTGCGGACTCATATTCAGCTTGTGGTCCACTACAACCCCTAGATCCGTTTCTGCTGTACTCTTTCCTAGACAGTCGCTTCCCATTCTAGATTCTTATTAAACTTCATCCTGTTTACCACAGACCATTTCTCCAGTTTTTCCAGATCATTTTGAATAATGACCCTATCCTCTAAAGCAGTTGCAACCCCTCCCTGCTTGGTATCATCTGCAAACTCAATAAGTGTACTCTCTATGTGAATATCTATATCACTGATGAAGATATTTAACAGAACCGGTCCCAAAACAGACCCCTGAGGAACCTCACTTGTTATGCCTTTCCAGCAGGATTGTGAACTGTTAAGAACTACTCTCTGAGAATGGTTATCCAGCCAGTTATGCACCCACCTTATAGGAGCCCCATCTAAGTTGTATTTGCCTAGTTTATTGATAAGAAAATCATGCGAGACCATATCAAATGCCTTACTGAAGTCTAGGTATACCACATTCACTGCTTCTCCCTTATCCACAAGACTTGTTATCCTAACAAAGAAAGCTATCAGATTGGTTTGACATGATTTGTTCTTTACAAATCCATGCTGGCTACTTCCTATCATCGTATTATCTTCCAGGTGTTTGCAGATGATTTCCTTAATTACTTGCTCCATTATCTCTCCTGGCACAGAAGTTAAACTGAATGATCTGTAGTTTCCTGAGTTGTTCTTATTTCCCTTTTTATAGATGGGCACTATATTTGCCCTTTTCCTGTCTTCTGGAATCTGTCCTGCCTTCCATGATTTTTCAAATATGATAGCTAAAGGCTCAGATATCTCCTCTATCAGCTCCTTGAGTATTCTAGGATGCATTTCATCAGGCTCTAGTGACTTGCAGAAATCTAATTTTTCTAAGTGATTTTTAACTTTTTCTTTTTTTAAAATTTTATCCTCTAAACCTACCTCCTTCCCATTAGCATTCATTATGTTAGGCATTCCTTCAGGCTTCCTGGTGAAGACTGAAACAAAGAAGTCATTAAGCACCTCTGCCATTTCCAAGTTTCCTGTTACTGTTTCTCCCTCCTCTTTGAGCAGTGGGCCTATCTACCCTGTCCTTGGTCTTCCTCTTGCTTCTAATATATTTATAGAATGTCTTCTTGTTTCCCTTTATGCCTGTAGCTAGTCTGAGCTCGTTTTGTGCCTTTGCCTTTCTAATCTTGCCCCTGCATTCCCATATTGTTTGCCTATATTCATCTTTTGTAATTTGTCCTAGTTTCCATTTTTTATATGCCTCCTTTTTTTATTTTTAGATCATGCAAGATTTCCTGGTTAAGCCAAGGTGGTCTTTTGCCATATTTTCCATCTTTCCTACAGAGCGGAATAGTTTGCTTTTGGGCCCTTAATAACGCCCCTTGGAAAAACTGCCAACTCTCTTCAGTTGTTTCCCCCCTCATTCTTGAAAGAATGAAACAAAGAAAAAATTGTGTGAAGGCTCTTATTTTCCATGGTCCCAAGGCTCCTGTCCTCCTGGTAAGAAGGACAGAAGCTTCCTCATCTTGCTGCTACCACGACTGGTCACTGGCTCCCAGGAGGAAGAAGTTGTACAAGAAATGGGGAAGCAATGCCCTCTCAGAGTGACACTGTGTGGGGAAAGAGGCTCAAACCTTCCACTGAAACCTCTGGTTTTATCTCCCAGGGTATGTCTACACTACCACCCTAGTTCGAACTAGAGTGGATAATGTAGTCATTTGCATCTTGCAGGGCGCCGCCATTTTTAAATCCCCGTTAGTGCGGACTCCGTGCCCGCAGCTACACGCGGAACGGAGTAGGTAGTTCGAATTAGGCTAATTCGAACTACCGTTACTCCTCGTGGAACGAGGTGTACCAGTAGTTTGAATTAGAAAGCCTAATTCGAACTACCTACTCCGTGCCACGTGTAGCCGCAGGCATGGAGTCCGCACTAACGGGGATTTAAAAATGGCGGCGCCCGGCAAGATGCAAATGAAGCCCGGGATATTTAAATCCCGGGCTTCATTTGCAACTTCGAATTACTACATTAACCACCCTAGTTCGAACTAGGGTGGTTAATGTAGTAATTCGAAGTTGCAAATGAAGCCCGGGATTTAAATATCCCGGGCTTCATTTGCATCTTGCCGGGCGCCGCCATTTTTAAATCCCCGTTAGTGCGGACTCCATGCCTGCGGCTACACGTGGCACGGAGTAGGTAGTTCGAATTAGGCTAATTCGAACTACCGTTACTCCTCGTGGAACGAGGTGTACCAGTAGTTTGAATTAGAAAGCCTAATTCGAACTACCTACTCCGTGCCACGTGTAGCCGCAGGCATGGAGTCCGCACTAACGGGGATTTAAAAATGGCGGCGCCCGGCAAGATGCAAATGAAGCCCGGGATATTTAAATCCCGGGCTTCATTTGCAACTTCGAATTACTACATTAACCACCCTAGTTCGAACTAGGGTGGTAGTGTAGACATACCCCCATACTGTTCCATTTAAGACAAATATTCAGCCCACACATAGGTTTTCAATGCCAACAGCATTTTAACATTCGTGGTTAAAAAAATTCATTTGCCTCTGTCATAATCAGAACTGAACTAACTTTTGACCTGAACTGCTATAACTCTACAAAGCTGTTTATCCACTTCTGTTCCTGAAAGGGGGGCAGTTATATCTACATTTATGCTATAACAATGATGGTAACTGCCTGTACCTGAAAAGTCTGAGGTGGGTCGCCGAGTTAGTCTGTAACTGAACATAAAACACAACACAGTTCTGCAGCACCCTCAGAGACTAACAAAACATGTACATGGTATCATGAGCTTTCATGGGTACAACCCACTTCTTCAGATGAAAGAAGTGGGCTGTGCCCACGAAAGTTCATGATACAACCTACATGTTTTGTTAGTCTCTGAGGTTCTGTAGAATTATGTGTTGTTTAAGTTATATTTTGTAGTAGAAAAGGTTTTTTCATTCTGTGATCAAGTCAAGGCAATGTGTTCACAAATGTTTGAACTTTCAAAACCACCATGTGTGTCAATTACAAATCAGAAAATTATGGCTGAAAAAAGATTTTTTTTAAAAAGTGTTACAAGAAAATTTCAAAATGTCAGATTTCTTACAGATGACCTTTCATGAGGTTACACAGCAAGTCACAGTGTTTTACATAGATTAAAACCCAGCTTCCTCTGATTCTAATTTTTACTTTGCTACTTACTGCATAAAATCGGAGAGGAGGGTGTCTGGAGCGTTAAAGTAGAGCCATCCTTCCGAGTGATGTTAACACGGAACACCAATCTGGCACGGGTGCTTTTTTTCTTGGAACCAGCAATCCCTATTCGAGCTTCAACATCTGCATTCCTCAACTTCAGTATTCCTACACAATCAACCCTAGCAACACACAACGTGAGAGTTAATAAGCTAGTGTGACTTCCAATACCTTAACTATAAAATTTCCCAGAACCTGGAGTTTAGTACAATTACCATCTGAAAAAAAATCCATTCAGATTTGTTTACTAAGTAACAGAGCCAGAATTTTATAAATGCAGTTGGAGTACAAAGCAGTTTATAGACTTTTAAGACATAACAGGGCACTGAAACTGCACCTCAAATGAGTTATATAATCCTAACCTCAATTTATCCCTTCCTGCTTTGTCCAAGAGATGAAGTAGAAAGGCAAAAAGTAGTGAGAAACTATGAAGACTGCAAACCTAGAGAACTTCCATTTCCTCCACAGTCAGTCTGCCAGGCACTCAGTTTGTCTCTGCAGATCCCCACTCATGCAGACTGAAAAAGCTCTGCTGTGAGGCAGTAAGGAAAACTAGCAGTATGAAGGACTACTTTACCAAAATCCTACATCTAGATGGTGCTGGGTCCTGTGGCGAGGGCAGGGGACTGGACTCGATGACCTCTAGAGGTCCCTTCCAGTTCTAGTGGTCTGTGATTATTTCCACTCTAAGGTAATGCCTTGGCTTAGGGCATCAAGAAACTTCACATACATGGTTGACTTACGGCTACTGGAAGCTGGTGCAAGTAAATGTGCCGCACTTAGCACAAAGGGGCCCCTGGCTGCTAGAATAATACAAAATAAATAACCACTGGTGGCTGCCTCTGTATCCTAAGTAAAAGGACCATATACAATGTCACATGTGGGCCAGCAGCACTATGCATGAAAGGTATAACCAGGATGCCTGCTTCATCACCACCGCCATCGAGACTGATGGCCACCCTGTCTGCAGTGCTCAGGGCCATGTGCAGTGCTGTTCTGGCTACAAACTGCCCTTTTTTGACAATGGCCTCAAACTGTTCTGTCTGCACTTCTGACAAGTGATTGATAAACATGTTACCCATAATGTATGTAGTTGTATTCAGCCATTATGACTGAATAGGTAGAGACTCTGATTCATAATGTTGCTGATGATCATGCCTTCCTCCACAAAAGGTCTAGCCTCTACCAAGCTCTATCAGATGGGGTTGACTTGGCATGATGTTGCTTGCCATGTGTAAACCACGTCCGTTACTACAGAGTTAGGCTGAGGGTGAATAAAGAGGAAGTGAAGTCTGCCTCCTCTGAGATGGCATAATTCTTGTCAGCTCTTTTGCATGTCAATGGTGACTGGGGTCTGCCAGATTACTTTGGCAGGGTCCAGAAGCACCTCATTAATTGGGAGGATAATTCTGGAGGAAGAGGGGTGGAAAATATCCATCAGCTTGTGGTATGAATGTCACCTTTTGTAAGTGAAACAAAAAACAGGACTGTGTAGCACTTTAAAGACTAACAAGATGGTTTAATAGGTGATGAGCTTTCGTGGGCCAGACCCACTTCTCAGATCAAATAGTGGAAGAAAATTGTCACAACCATATATACCAAAGGATACAATTAAAAAAAATGAACACATATGAAAAGGACAAAGCTCATCTGCTACCTAAGCCAGGCTGCATTACAGCCTTTGCTGATGAGAAGCAGCAGCAGATGTTTGCTGGTGTGATAATCTCCACTTCAAAGCCTGGCTTGTTACTTCTCTAGACAAAGTGAAAACCATGTAGTGGACTCAGAGGCACCTGATGCTCCTAAGTATGGGATCTGTAAATGGCCCACAGATCCCAATTGTGAACACAGGAGAGAGGGGAGAGTGAGGAGAAGCACATGGATGGTTGTGATGGTGCCCACAGATGACCGTATCAAACTTGAGAGTCAGGACAAAGGTTTAGTTGGGGAGGTCCCACTGTTGTAATGGTAGGCCATGCTGCGAGACCAGAGAAAGACTGCCCCCCTCTCTGGAAAAGGGTGGTGCTGAGTAAATGGCCCAGTGCCTGTGGTGATACTGGGAACCTAGTACCAAGTAGTAGAGGAGATTCTGGTTCTTCCACGACCACAAGGTCCCCCAAGAAATGGAATTCCTATGGTATCATTGATGCACTCAGTACCGTCAGGCAGTGCCCGTGCTGACTTGTCAATACAGATTTTTATTTATGGGAGGCATGCTCTAACAAGGGTTGCTTTGATGCACTCTGTGAGGATGGCTTTGTCAGTGCGAATCTTTTAGAGGTGGTATGGTCTGTCTTTATCTCTGGAAGGCTACGCCATGGAGTCCAAGCCTGTGTCCATGGGGTTCTTAGACGATATGACAGAGGTTGTACGAGAGGGTCACTGGTGTTTCTAGGTACCATGCTTCAGTGCTGTTGGTGCCAAAGTAAGCGAGTGCGCCAAGGATCCCCTCTGGCTGGCCAAGAATTCAGTTTGAGGACTCGGAGTCCTTTTTCTCGGAGTCCAGCTTTCAGGGGTGGATCAGCTGACTGGTGATTCTGTGCTCTGCAGTTTCAAGGCTTTGGGGATGACAACCATCTTGGAGAAGTTTCAGGATCGGGGTCAGCTGATGGTAGGAGTGCACCCTACATGAGGAGAAGCTTTAACTTGAGCTCCTGAGTCTTATGAGATTTTGCCTTCACTTGCTGGCAGAGGGTGTACTTCTGCAAAGTTTGCGCCTCTCCAGGACATCAGACACAAGGAGAACACCCATGCATTATGGGAAACTGCCCCCTTGAAGGTAAGGTGCCTCATGAAAGTGGGGGAACCAAAAGGGCAGGAAAATATGAAAGAAAAAGAAGTTTCTTTGTCTATTTTAAGAAAGGTAAAACCGAAATTCTACTAAAAGGATACAAAAAACTCCAAGCATAGCTACTATTTATACTAAAAACTATCAAAGAAAGACTACTGTTCATGCCACTGGAGGCCAAAGGGAGTTGAGAAGGAACTGAGGGCAATTTGTCTGGTAGCACTAGATAGCCTCAAGGTAGAATACAAGAGAGGAATGGGGAGGGCACAGATATAGGCTGCACAAACACGACTACCTCAAATCTCTGATCCGAGGCGTGAAAGGTGCCAATACACTAAGTGGCCTTTTTTAAAAAAACTTCCCCTGCGTCTAGACTGCCACTGAATTCTTTTGAAATTAAATCGAAAGAACACGGTGTTTTTTTCAACTGCGGTAAACCTCATTTTACGAGGAAGAATACCTTTTTTCGAAAGTGCTCTTTTGAAAAAAAGGTGTTCTTGAATGCAAACAGGGCTTTTTCGAAAGAGCATCCAGACTGCCTGGGTGCTCGCTTTTTCAAAAGAAGTGGTTGCAGTCTAGACGCTCTTTCGAAAGAAAGAGTGCAATATTTATTCCTGCCTCTGGAAATTTCCACTACATGCATCTGACGAAGTGGGTCTTTGCCCACGAAAGCTTATGCTCCTACACTTCAGTTAGTCTATAAGGTGCCACAGGACTCTTCGTCGCTTTTGCAGATTCAGACTAACACGGCTACCCCTCTGATACTTTCTTTCGAAAGAGGCTTTTTAGAAAGATTCTTTCAAAAAAGCCTCTTTCGAAAGAGGCTTGTAGTCTAGATGTAGCCCAACAGTGGAACACCAATAGGGACATTATTCAAAGACAATATATGGCTTTCTTCTAAGATTTAGTACATGGATTTGAGGACTTCTCTTATGGCCAAACAATACTTAGTTTAGCATATCGCATACTAAGATTGCTTTGAAAAGTAGAGCAGTTGGGGAGGGAAACAATGCCCTTAATATTGAAAGCTTGTACTTCTACTAGAGAGAAAGTGTGTCAGATTACACATGAGTATTTTGTAAGCTTATAATCGCTGCAATGTAAAAATAGTAATGAATAGTCTTGTACACAATCAAACAGTCTGAGAAAAGCTCAAGCTATCATATGAAAAGAAAGTCAGAATGAGATATAACACTGGAAATATTTTTTGGCCTAAAAATCTTCATTCAAAACAGAAGGATGACAGCTGCAGACCATGTCTTGGGAGGTGTGTGGCATTTTGTGCTCACTTGTGTGCCTGTCAGAAAAAAGATACCAGTTTGCATAAGAAGGGATAAAATAAATCACCCGAGACTGGTAATGGATCTGGCCTACTGAAGAAAAAAAAAACAAAAAAACGCTAATGATATTTCCAATACACTTAAAGAAGCAGAGGAAGGTGGCATTGACAAGAGCAATTTGGAAATTGGTCTTCTTAATCATTCTCCAAGTCTTCTTAAGTACAAATTGGGACAATTATCTCTAAATCACTTCTTATTCTTAAAATCTCTGTTGTAATGAAGAAATATCAAAAATAAGAAACAGAACCCTCTTTTCCTGGTGAGAACAAGTTCTATAATTTCTAGGTATATCAGAAAATATTTTCTGTTTTAAGCAAAGTCCCTGGAAAGGGAGAACACTGAGGAAAGGTCAAAAGATAACCTCCAATTCCCTAGTGACAAATCATAGAAAAGCAGCATCACAGATGGTCATTTCATCTTACCAATTGAAAGAGTTGGAACTTAACTTTCAGTAGACTTAAAGAGGCCCAAGGCTTTCAGGCTGGTATCACTGAGCTCAAAAACAGATGCTAATCCTTCTTTTTCTTTCATTAATGATGTATTAATTAGGACAAGTCAAAGATCCAGATCACTGGTTTGTACTTTAGGATAAAATACTAAATTACAGAGCCAGGCATAGTGCTTAGTCACTATATACCAGTGTTTCTTAAACTTTTTCAGACCGAGGAACACCAAAATTTTTTTTTAAGAAGGAATACCAAGGATTTTTGGTTGTGAGGAAAAAAAAAAGTCTGGGGGAAAGGGTCAGGGGGAAATTATCGAGGGGAAAAAAAAGGGTTGGGGGAAGTTATTGAGAAAAAAGTTCCCTACCCCTTTAAGGGCAGCCATTTTGAATTTTGTTGCTCTCCGCAGCATACCTCCGACTGCCTCGCGGCACACCAGTGTGCCACAGAACACAGTTTAAGAAACACTGCTATATACAGTATGGGCAGCTGAACCTTCAGCATCAAAGAATCCAAATAATGCACTTAAGATTGTTTAAATGCTTCTGAAAATGACAATTTTATAACGAAGACGATAGCTGTACTTTGTCAAACGTCTGATTGGTTGCCAGCTTCATAGATCATTAACTGGGCCATGGACCATCAGATAAATAGGGCAGGAACAGAACAATCCGGGCTGGGGGAGCACTGAAAATGCTTTCTGCATTTCTCACTATGAACAAATCCAAAAAATGCTGGTCTCTGTTCTTTAGTAAGTGCTAAAAACACAGAGGGAATCCCTTTCTTTTTTCTTGCCTGGGGACAATCTAAAATAGTTGAACAAACAACTGCACAACATCTAAAGCCACTGTCAAATCTTCATATCCTGCAAGTACTTTACACAATGTTGCAAATTGCTACACAAAGCGAAACCCAAATATAAAATCTAAACAAGAAAAACAATTAAAAAGATGTGTCAAAGTGAACAATGGATAAAATAAACACTTTGGGTGAGCTAAAGGTGGGTATGAAGTGAAGGCATTTTCCTTATGATCTGTAGTCTCACTAGTGTTTTCTGTATGTCAAGATACTCCTATTGTAACTGCTTTCAAAACAGTCTGATGAATAAATCCAAAAAGAGTCTCTGAAAGCAAATTAATGAAGGTGAACATTAAGTTAAAAAAGGTATTTTGACAATAACAATGGCATGTTTATAAAAATGAATCTGTTTGCTCAGCTTGTTTTCTCAAATTCTGGAAGCAAGCAAATTCAGTCAATAATGAAAAGAGCAATTTCTTTCCAAAGTTTTAATTAGGTCAGACAAGACAGTCTATTTTTAGTCTTTATGATCTTGCTCCATGCTATAAATGTGTAAATAAAAAGACCTCTTATTTAAAATGTCAAATTACACTTTCAAACTTGATTCCTGAAGGAAAAAACCCAAAACACAGTGCAAAAAAAAAAAAAAAAAAAAAAAATACTCACGCAAGTGTCATGTTGTTGCTAGGGTCAAGGCCAACTTCTATGACTGTAGTGCCCTCTATATCCACCTCTTTGCAGGGAGTAGTGTTTCGCCCAGTCACCCTGCAGGCCTGGTAGAACCCATGTGGCTTTACTCGTCCAGAATCATTACCCACAAATACCTGCAGCACTACTGACTCATTGTGACCTTCCAGCTAGAACCAAGCAACAAGAAGTAAACAGTAAATTGAATTTATAATGTATTATGAAATAAAACATTTTTAAACCAGTACAACAGAACTGCAATATTTCAGTGAAAAGATACATCGAACTTCCAAAAACCTGACAGCGTAAATGAACAAGGAGAGGGGAAGCAGAGAATTTCTATATAATTTACAAAATGGCAAACTGCTTAGACTGTAGCCTCAGGAATACCAAAACCTGATTTAATACTTCCACAAAATTATCAAGTAAGCAGCAACTAGCATTATCAGTTAAAATGTATAATTAATGTTGATTCATTCTCAAAGTATCTTGTGAATAAAGGCTTCTTAGAGCCACAGGCTCATAGATGCTAATCAATATGCTCAGTATTAATACGTTGCCCACAATCAGTTTGCAAGGCAGTACATTTATGCCATGAGAAAAATGTGCTAAGTCTTAGGGCATTACAGTACAGATCTATAAGTGCTGGAATTATATATAAACTTACACTGAAATTTCAAACTAAGTCATGATTCTTAAATTTATTTTTATAAACTATATTTCTACATTAATGAACTTTTAAAATGTTAATAGTTAATACTGTTTGTTGTTTTGCACTCTGATTACTGATCACTCCTGCTGTTTGAGCAACTTCAGAAACTCCTACATCACAACAAAGCCATGCAGTTTAAGATAATTTCATTTTAACTAAATAATATACTTCTATGAAACTGTACAAAGGAATCTCTAGTACACCAAAAAGCAATTAAGAAAATGTTTTCAAAACATTACATAGTTTGGAGGAATTTTATATATGAGAAGACATCCACCATTCAGCGTACATAGTGATTTAATTCTACAATATTTTCTCTAATCCCATTTTTAATTAATAATTTACTTAGTGGTTTGGTTTCCAGATAACAGATCAAACACCTTTCAATATTAGAAATGCAATTCCTATTAACTGGAAGAAATCAGTATTTTGCATAATTTTTTAAACTAATGGTAATTGTGCAGTTCTTTGATACAAAGTTAATTCAATAACGTCTCCAGCTATAATTGTATCCAAAATCAAACTCCGATCACAGCTAACTTTCAAATTTAAACAAAGCTCATCTTCAGCCTACACTCTCTCAGTGCCACTTACACACGTCTTACACAAATCCAATATTGTTGATTTTATGATTTGTCTGAGGATTTTTCATGACTTTAATGAGACATATGCACAATATAATTTGTCTGCTTCCCAGGGTTGGCCTTACCATGAGGCGAACTGAGGCGGCCGCCTCAGGTGCCAGACTGCGGGGAGGGCGCCACTAGGACCCAGAGTGTAGAAAACTGTGTCTGCTGCTGGTGCATATGTATTCTCTCTGCTCTAGATGCACAGAGATAATGGAGTGCTATGAGAGGAGTAAAACAGGAAGAAGGCAGAATTGAGACCTTTCAAAGTTTTGGCCCGAGCGAGAGGGCATGGGGGCACCATTTGAGCTCCCTGCCTCAGGTGCCAAAATGTTGTGGGCTGGCCCTGCTGCTTCCTGACAAACATCTTCACAAACAGGACTATTTTAACTTATATGGGAAAAGTTAATGAAACTGTGCTCTCCATTTGCCTGATGGAATTCTAAAATATATTCAGAATTTCTTCCAATGAGCAATAAAGACTCTTCTGTGAGTACGCCCAGAAGTTAGAGCTAAATCCAAAGCTTACTTTCTCCAGACTTGTTTAGTTAGCTGCTTTCATCTTGAAATTTTTTTAGTTGAGTATGTACTTGTCTAATAATATATATTACACTTCAGGGGGAAATGGAGGTGGACAGATGAAGGTTGTTTTTGACTGTCATTTTAATGTACCTTGAAACATGAAGAAACAGCATTATCAAAATGTCATACTCCTGATCATTCTTCTTGCCATTCCCTGTACTTTTTCTAATTTTTTGAGACAGGATAACTAGAACTGCATGCAGTATTCAAGGTGCAGGCGTACCACAGATATGTATAGTGGCATTATGATATTTTCTGTCTTATTAAGGATATGAGTATGTCACAGATTCCATGACTTTACTTGATCTCTAGGATATGGGGGCTCCACAGCAACCCAGCCACTGCTGGCAGTGGGGGGGGGGGGCAGGGGTGACACACTCCGGAGCTCCCCAACCCTGCAGGGTGGTAGGGGATCCCTTCTCTGCTTCCTGCTACTGCACACAGTGGAGCAGTATGCTGGACCCTGCACCCTCCCCATTTTGTCATGGATATTTTTAGTAAAAGTCAGGGACAGGGGTCATGACTGCTGTGAATTTTTGCTCATTGCCTATAACCTTTCCCTGACTTCTACTAAAAATATCCATGACAAAAATCATAGCCTTAATTATCTATCTCTTTCCGAATGGTTGCTAACATTTTGTCAGTTGTTTGGATTGGCACCGCATGTGGTGTAGCTGTTTCAGAGAACTACCCATGATAACTCCAAGATAGAGTCCCTATTAATCTCTATTAATCAGTTAAAAGATTAAATAGGATGAGGTGACCACTCTAACCTGGCTAGAGTAGCCACTAACCCCACAGTCCCTCCTGTGCAGGTCCGCCATCAGCCCTTCCCCTCCCCTGGTAGCCCCATGCGGGGCTCCTAGCTCCCGCCACTGCCCACAGTACAGTGGGGCTGCTCCTAGGCACTGGTTAATTGTTACCTAGTAAGGGTCATGCTTACCAGGTAACCCGTTACCCATTCACATCTGTACTCCAAAATCACTTTGATTGCTAACAGCTAGTTTTGAACTTTTGTATATTTGGTTGGGATGTTTTTCCAATGTGTGCTAATTTTGCATTCATCAACACTGAATTTCAGCTGCCATTTTCTTACTCAGTTACCCAAATGTATAACCCTTTGCAGTAAGCTCTGGATTTAACTATCTGCGCATGTTGCCATCTTGTTGTTTATTTCCTCCCCCAGATCATTTATGATTATGTGGCACAGCACTGATCCCAGTACTGACTGTTGAAGGACCCTACTATTTACCTCACCCCTATCAAAACTGACCATTTATTTCTTTTCTGTTCTTTGTTTCCCGATAACCAGTTACGGATCCATGTTACCCCATGACACCTTACTTTGCTGAAGAGCTCCTGGTGAGGGACTTTGTCACGGGTTTTCTGAAAGTTCAAGTAAAGTGTATCCACTAGATCACCATTGCCCCACATGCTTGTTGTCTCTCTCCAAGAATTCCAACAGACTGGTGCGGCATGATTTCCCTTTACAAAGCAATACTGACTCTTCCCCGACATACCATATTCTCATCTATCTGCCTAATAAATCTGTTCTTTTCTGTAGCTTCAATTGGTTTGCCTCATACTGAAATTACTCCAGATGTAGCCTCACCAGTGCCGAACACAGGGAATAATCACTTTCCTCAATATGCTGGCAATCCTCTTACTAATGCCATTAGCCTTCTGGGCTACAAGGGCACACTCTTGACTCATATCAAGCTTCTTGTCTACTGTAATCCTCAGGTCCTTTTCTGCACAGCTACTGTCCAGCCAGTCAGGCCCCAGCCTATAACAATGTATAGGATTCTTCCATCCTAAGTGTTGAACTCTGCACTAGTCCTTGTTGAACATAATCAGATTTCTTTTGGCCCAAATCCTCCAATGTGTCTAGGTCACTCTGGAGGCTATCCCTTACCTTCCCCCTCCTACCCAGCTCAGTGTCATTCATGAACTTGTTGAGGCAGGAGCAGCCCTAGAAGAGTTGCTGGCAACTGGCACCCTAGGTGAAATGTGCTATCGGCGCCCCCACCTCCAAAGCCATTTATCTTGGCGCCCTAGACGACCGCCTAGTTTGCCTGTATTGACGGGCCACCACTGTGTTGAGGGTACAAACTAACTCATCATCCAGCTCATTAAATGAAGATGTTGAACAAAAACTCTTCCTCCTCCTGCCTTTTCTCCCCCAAGGTTGAGGTGGGGGGCCAAACTTGCATTACTCTCTCTCCATGTTAGCTTTCCCTATTAAAGACTGCAGGGACCCTAAGGTAGCAGAGGACAGTTCATATTTGTTTATATGGTAGGCCTGATGCACTCAAAGTTTTCATGCCTGGCAAGCTTCACTAGCCCTTTGTTATTTTGCTTCCAACTATGCTACTCCAGAGGAGGGATGGGAGCAGCCATTCATGCTGGCCCTGGGGTACTAAACACTTGTGCTGTAACCTACACGATCTCCATGGCTTAAGCTCTGGTTGCTAGACAAGAGTGTCCTCCATACAACTATTTTTAGTGTCACCTTGGGCTGTGCTAGCACAAGTCTGTCTAATCATACCACAAGTCGCGCACTCAGCTGCACTGTAGACATGCACCCGCGGTAAAAGCATTTTCTCCAGCCCTCAGTTATTTTTGTTGCTCTTCTCTGCATCCTCTCCAATTCTATGAAGTCTCTTTCTAAAATACCGTAACAGTCTAACCAATGAGCAACACAGAAAAATTTACTTCCTTGCTCCTATTCTCTACTCCCAAAAATACATCCAAAGATGACATTAGTCCTTTTTCCCCAAAGCACTGCCAAGTACTGCTGATAAGCATACTACCTTTACAGTTGGAAAACCTTGTTGTGTCCGGTCCTTCACTGAGCCTCGGCTGCCTTCAGTCAAGTACCGAGCTCTGTGCTGGGTCTCCGGCTGTACCACAATCTTCAGCTCCTTGCCTTCACTTTTAGTAGGATACTGACCACACAACATCGGACTCTTCTTCCCTCCAGCTCCTTTCTGGCTTTCTGATGCTCTGGGAAGTCAAAGCAGACCATCAAGAATATATTATAAGAAGTTCCCATATAAAATAAAATCAAGGTAAAGGAAAACCATAGATATTTTTAACAACCCACAAATTGGCAGGTGAAATATTTAAAAGAGCAAATGTTTAAGCTGCACTTGTCTCACTGACAGAGGAGGAGGAGGCCTGGAGGAGAGGCAGAACAGTGCTTCTTTGTCTCCTCAATTCAGGGAAAATATGAACTGGTTTTCATGTAAATAGCAAAGAAATGGGAAACCAATTAGCATTACTAGAGTAAGTTAATAGGAGAAAGGCACATAACCTCGCCTCTCCCCAATTTTGTATAATCAGAAAATGTAGGGACTATGTTTTAGATCACATTACAAATATGCATACCTTGAACAGAATTAAGGTTAAAGAATATACATTTCTTTCTAGATAGAAAAACAGCCTCATGCCTGTCTCCTTCTGAATTTGCATGATCATGCAAATTCACAAGTACTATTTGGCAATTTCTGTCAGATCAGATTGAGAAATGTATAGGAAAAAGCGGTTTAAAAAGTATTTGGCTTAAGCAGATTTGCCATAATTGCACTGACTTTAAAACGAACAACATGCATGCAACAAGACCATCTCCACCCAGGTGTGTGGCTTTCAAGAGTACTCTAGCTTGTGATCAGTTCCATAATTAAAACCTGAATGAAGAAGCCCTCCAAAGTATAACATTTTGCAATCAATGTTTTGTCCATTTTAAAGGATTAAGAGAGAAAATGTCTCACTGACCTTATACTGAGGAGGTTTGTATATCTTGAACCAAAGTCTGATAAACCAATTGTGAACAGAACTATTCCCCTGGCAACTGAGACAGTCTGGAAGAGGGCTTAATCAATCAGTGCAGAATTTAGCTTTAAACTTTATCAAAAATTACTTTTGGCATTTATGGCTATAAAGAAAACCTTCTCTAGCCAATGTTGCCTTCTTGAACATGTGGATAGCCTGAAATAAGGGAAAGGAGTGAGATTTCTAAGAATCACTGTTTCAAGGTGCCTCCTTAGCAATTTGGCTGGGGTAGGAAAGGAAATCTCTTCTTCCAGGCCACTGACTGATGGTGGACCTACCTCCTGGCAACTTTGCCAGTCCTAAGCCTGGAGAGGCTATTTGTACTCTGAGTAAAAGAGGGGAGGACACATGGTGAATCTGCAAAGTATCCCCAGACTGAAATTCTTACTGTACAATACAACAGAGCAGGGCTCCATAATCTACAGGAAATGTACATTTTTGAAGGTTTTCCCAACTCCTTGCCCATCTCCTGCATAGCTGAACCACAGTAGTTTTGCTACAAGACAGTCCTACCATTGCTGTACAGGAGAACGGAAGTTTTCCCCTTAATACTGCTATATCTGATTTTCAAGAAGGTCTCACTTAAATCACGACTTGCAAGACCCTTGAACACGCGCAACAAAAGTAGAAATAATCTTTTGCCTAATGATCTAGTGGATGATTTACTGAGAGTTGCAGAAACTTAATATTGTGTGTTCATGAAAGCTAACCTCTCCAGACTCAAACTGTCCTATGAGCCTGTTATTTATTCAATCTGAGCATAGAATCCCAAAGTGCTTCACCAGACCTGTTTTGTACACTTTTCAAATTAAATAAAAGATGTAGAATTTAGAGGTCATAAAAGCCTACAAAATTGGAATAGCAACATTTTATGGCAATAAATCCTTATTATTCAGCTTCAGCATAACCAAAGAGGGTCTTACACCCCTCTCTAAAATAAAATAAACCCTCTTCAGTTTTATTTTCACCCATTTTTCTTAATCCTACAGAAATCATTGGGACAAGGTACACAAGTCCAATGAAATACAAAGTAAACAAATGTAGAAAGCAGTATGCTTTAAATTACTGTCCTAGTTAATCAAAAATACTAACTACATTCAAGGTTTTAAGATTATCAATTCTCCACATTCTCTGTTAGGAAAATATTCTGGTATGCTGGCAGTTAAATGTGAGATGTTAAGTTTGAATCAGTAAATTTCCTCCGCTTTTGAAGACATGAAGAATTTTAAATTGCATAATGAAACATAGAAATCAGAAAAGGAATGTTAAGCAATCCAATTTTTATGAACAGTCATATTACTCAAAGCTCTGAGTTTGGAATTCACATTTCTTCGCCTTTACAACTCACCTAACTAGCTATAATGTCACAAAAGAATTCTCAGTGCAGAAACATAGTATGGGTTACACATTTTCATCTCACATTCAGCATTCCAGCTAAACAGGTTAATGAAGGAGACTTGGAGATCACAGGAATTTTGATGGGAAGAGAAAATAGGCATGTGACCCGTTAAAAATATACACACATCTAATACTTTAGTCTCCTCAGACTACTTATGTGGTTTCTTTAATTATTTTGTTTTTGAATCCTGAGATATCTTATCTTTCTTGATAAAATACTCCACATTTACTGTGTTATTTTGGTTTGAACAGGTTCTGATCATCAATTATTTGGAATGTTTTCCCCTTAGGAGTCTCTTGAAATCAGGGTTATTTTCAATCTAATTAATTATATTAGGGGAAAATTTAAAATATTTCACTAGAATCTCTTTTATTTGTCCCTGTTCCAACCATAAAGAAGAGCTGGTATTTCTCCACTTGCCTTCTAAATTCAGTTACCTTTTACTCCTAGAATCAGTGGCATTCAATTTCTCATGCCTTTGCAAACAGCAAAAGCAGTATTGTATATATAGTATTAGTTAAAAGGCATCAGAACTAAACAAAGAACTCTGAACCAAGGCTGGAATGGTAATTTCAAATTATCAAAGCTAAATGATTTTATTACAACACATTCCATGGTGCCCACTCAATATCTCAACATTCTATTTTTATTTGTTTCTTCATTGCTCTGATCATTTAAAATGTGTGCCATCTGAATCCCAGCTGCTCCAAATGAAGACTTGAGACTAATAGTGAGACCAAGACAAGGCATGACTCCAATGGAGGAAGAGGATTTCTCCTGTTTGCCCTGGAAAATCAACAAAACTCAAAGCCTTTTAAAATGGCTTTCACAAATTCTGTTCAGTTTCTATGGAAGTGTTATTTTTAATAGCGCTAATGAACTCTTAGACATCTGAGGACCATAATATTTTCATTCCATGAATTAGGGCATATAGCAAGTGTCATAATCCTTCCTCTCTCTTGAAGCTAAAATATGAGCCATTAGGCAGAAAAGCAAAAAACAAACAAAAAAACCTATAGTCACTCCTACAATCTGTGTTTGCAGGGCTGCATCTCTGTGCAATAGCCATACATGTTCCACCTACCCCGCATTTTCCATATACTACCTACTTCAGACACTCAAACGTCTACTTTTAACTAGAATCTACTTCTTGGAACTTTCATATTTTTTCTTACAACCTAGATATACTATATAAATCAACTTTGTCCCAAATGTTCTAAAAAGCTTACAGTTACATAAACATAACCTTTCATTTATTAATGCATGCTGCTTATGTCCTGTTATGGTAGTAATGAACATTATAGTTTTGCTAGCTTCATTATTAATGCTAAAAAGGTCAAGCTTATTAGTCTGTAGCTTACTAAGCCTGTGCTCACAGTCTGGAGGAAAAAAATTCTATGCGTACACAGTTCTTGTTCACAGGAAGAGCATTTCTTTCCATAGTAGTTGATCATTGCCTTCCTTCCTGTAAGTTTGGTGCAACCTTGTTTTCTAACTTTCCAAACAACTTGTTTATTAATCTGAGAAGCTGCAAGGCAAAATTTTAAATAGGTAACTTTTTACTTTATTATACAATTTTCTCCTGGTGAATTTACAACCAGGATGTTGGACTGTTTCACTGACTTGTCCTGACTATTTGTGGTGAACCGACAAAAAACTGTTTCATTAAGTACTTTTTTGCATAAGACAGGAGGAAAAGATTGGGTGGAAATGTTTAATCTACATCCTTTGTTCAGCCTGGTTCTCGTCTTATCAAATGAGATATCTACAATGAAGCTGCAGACCACTCTGGAGAGTTTCTTAGACTCACTTTCTTAAAGCAACATTTTAAGTATGGAACTGCAATGACCCTGGGGATACAGACTAAAGGCTGTTTCCCTTAGGAATATGAAAAGCTCATCTTTCCAGTCAGTTCTATTTTAATGTTCACCTTTCAAGTGATGAACATCAGAACACATTGCAAGCACATACATAAAAGTAACAAATAAATCTGCCCACTTGACTGCAGTGTAAAATTAAGTACTAAAGAAGCCACAAGTATAAAAACAAAAACACCCCAAACTACTGTAAACTCGTGGATGTTTTCTCTCTAAACCAACTTCTGAAATGTACATAGTAAACAGTGTGAAGTGGGAGAGATGAGAGACCACCACCCTGGCGTGCCCACGTACAAACACACACATGCATACAACCCAGAAGCACAGAGAGAAACAGGATTAGAGATTTATTTCTGAAAATCAAATACAGAAGTGAGTTCACATGAAAAACAAGATTTGGTTCAGCATATAATCTTAACATTTTATCAAAAAGTGAAAGGAGTGTTAATTTAAATGCTGAAAAATCGTAATAAGCAATTAACTTCTATATTCAACACTCTCTCTATTTGATAAATAGAAAGAGACAGACAGAGGAGATAAAACGTATCAACTGAGATCCTCACATAAAAATCTGAACAAGGTATTTTTGGGAAGATAGTGTGGAACAGCTGTAAGATCTCTCCAGTGCCTATAGCTCTTTTTTAAATAGAGCCTTTTTACAGATGGAGACATATAATTAAGAAGTTTTGTATCCTTTAGGAATCTCAAACCATTGGGGGGAAAAAACTTAGATAATGTCTCAAGTACTGGACTGACTCACTAATAAAGCACAGAGAATGTTATATTGCAATAAATCTTAGCTTTACTTCCTTGTAAAGCTTAGTAATTCTAGAAGAAATGTATCATGAGCTAAGATATAAAAGGGTAGGAGTGTTTATGTTTTATGTGAGAACCTGAGTAGAACACTTGAGAAATATCAGGAGTATGTTTTATTAGCTTGGTGTTACATATGGTGATAGAACTTTAAAAAAATGCAGATACCAACCCATTTCCTGCTTTTGAGTTGCCTTTGTTGTCCGTGCTGAGCTGAGAAAGGACATAGTGGGGCGCTTTGGCACTGTCGGCATCAAATATATCCATGCTGGATCCTTCACAATCTCGACGTTTGATCCCTGGCCTCTGCTTTGGATTTCGTTTGCGTGATTTACGTGGCACCTCAGTGTTATCATTGTAGGAACTGGTGCTCATGTTACTGAAGTTGGAGGGGGAATCCTCCATCCACATAATGCAGCTCTGCTCTGATTCCAATCCACACCCTTCATCTTGGCAGGACATCTGACTGTTGTCCAGCAAATCCTCAGGTGGTGGTGAGATGTACAGGACTGTATTTCTCTTCGGCATTGACTGTTGCTGCTGGACTGTGTTACTGGTTAACTGCTTTTCACTTACCCCTCGGTTACTTACCCCCACGGCTGAGGAGCAGTTCTCCACTTGCATAGCCTTGCTGTCGGTGACTGAGGTAGAGTAAATGGTAGGGCTGGAAGAGGTGGTAAAGGAGCTGCAAGCACCGCCCATGGAGGAAGAGGAGGGAGCTGAAGAAGCATCTGCGGTGTACAATTCAGAAGTAAATACAAGATACGCGTTTCCACCTATGCTGGCTATAGCAGTCCCATTGAAATAATGTGATTTGTCAACTGATTTTTCCCCCAAATGAAAATTTGGAATTTAGTAAATTTGATAATGTAACTGCTTCAAGCAATACAAGGTCTAAGCAATGGAATATTATTTTTGAAGTGTCCAAATGATACTTAATTGATTTTAGTTCAAAAGTTTACATTAACTTTTAAGTCATAAAAAGGCTGCAAGCAAACAAGAGGGCTTTTATTGCCTCAGTTGGACTAATTATTTGACTGTAAGCTACTTTATCTCAAACAATGGAAACCCCAATGCAAAATGTATGCTTGTAGTCCACATTCAATGCCAATTAAACCATTCATCATTAGAATTTTTTTTGAAAAAGACGGGACTGTGCTTAGCCACAAAATATTAAAATAAGTTTCTAACCTATGAAGCAGAGAACTACAGGTCATTTTTAATGCAGACACTCCCTGCTTCAGAGGCAAATCCTGGAATAAAAATATGAGAAAATAAATGAGAAAATTGCTGCTGATTCCAGATATCAATTATAAAATGAGAAATAAAATCTAAAAATAACTGAATTGTAAACAAAATGGAACTGGTACCAGTCACTAAGATATGGTTTGTTTATTGTGTAAGTTCAGAACAGGGACAAAACTGATTTGTAGCATGCTGAGAATAGAAAGATAAAAGGTCACTAGAATCTCAGAGGCTGAAGAAGTCACCATGAGATTACATATCCTCAACTTCCAGGGACTTGTTAGCTGGTCCCCTTAAATACAGAATCAAAAGCCATGTAGAACCAACTAAGGGACAGAACTCTTAGTTCAAACACGCCGCAGTGTCCTTAGGAACATTAACAGCATCCTACACCTACCTACCCACCTACTATAGCAAAAATTATTTGACTGATTAAACTTGGAATGCTACAGATCAGATTGCCCTTGATAAAGGAAAGTAGGGTTAAGGGTTCAACAAAAACAGAAAATTTTTGAAGAACAACCTACTAAAGGTTTTTTTTTTTTTTTTAATAAATTTCTCGAACCTTGACATATCCATCAGCAAATGAGGAAAGAGAAAGGTTAAAATTCAATGATCACAGTTGTGACAGTTCTCCCCATGGTTTATGAAATTTTCTTATGGATACATATATGCATAATTCAAAGATGCTTTGGGACAAAATACCTCATGTAACCTATCAATTTTAATGTCACAATCTGCTAGATCTGTATATCTTATTTTGGTGTAGGTTTCATTCTTGTATCTAAAGTTAGAAATATGGAGTATGGAATGATTAATGGTTTTAAATATGCAGATGAAAGCCATCAAGGATGTTTTCAATGCTCTGGCAACCTCAACGACTGGGTTATCAACTTAATGGCCTGTAAACAATCTGGTTTTGTCTAAGTTTGAGCTGTGCTGGAAAGGCATGTGTCCAAACCAACTTATACTACTATACCAGTTTAACCAGGTATTTTTCCATAGAAAGGGGGGAAGTGTATGACAAAGGATTCCCGCCCTAAAGGAAGTCTCTATTTTAGCTGGAAAGCTATGAATGCCTTGGTCTTTGACTGGTGTGACACACCAAAAAAGGAGAGCCAGGAAGCCAAGTCAGAGTAAAAAATCTTCTCTGACTTGAGGCTTCCTTGAAATACGAATAGTTTTAGGCTAAGTTTGCAACAAGTTTTAGTGTGTTAGAACTAGCTACGCGTTTTCTTTTATTTTAATTTTATAACTCACTATGATCTGCCTATTTTTGATTTCTTCCTTGCTTTGCTTGGGGGTTGGTTTCCTTGATTCTGTGCCCTTGAACTGCATTCTCCCAGAGCTGAAGTGATTCAGTGTCTGCATTGCTTTTTGGGGGGAGAGGGTGTGATCTCAGGTCTGTGCTTTGTCTGGGGGAGACCAGGAGATCTGGACCAAGATGACAGGGTGGTGAGGAGCCTCAGAGAGCAAGAAAGCGAATGTCAGTGTCTATATCAGTACATCGGGAAACAGCCCCACAGGGTCTTTTCGGTGATCACACCCTGTCACAGCAGCCTGCTGCAGGATACCGCACAGAACTTTGTATTTTACATTAGGCTGAAAGCCCTATTTTTACAGTGCTGACCACATTAAAACTCAAGCAGTAAATACCAGCACCACTACAAAACTTCAGTGGGAAATTAACTATGAAATTCAAGTATAGGTTTAACAGCAGATGTAATTACTGCAGTTCTGAGTCTAGCATCTGCTGGAAGGAGGAAGTCAGGCTTTTGGGGGAGGGATGTTGAAATCTAGAAGGTAGTAGTAGTCTCTGATAAGCCACACAACTTGGTGAGAATTATCGTAATGTGGAAATTAATCTGTATTTTATCCAGTTTGGACCACTCTGAAGAACTCTCAGAGAATTAAAAAAGAGGGAAAAACTTTCTGTTTACCTATGACGTACATATTTATTTTCTGGTATGGTAAAAATGAGAAAACCAGTGTATTTGTAATTAAAATAGAAGCATCAGAACCCTATGAAGAATCATTACAAATGATTTTTTTAAATTAATATGATGTTTTTATGTTCTAGGTGACATGAAAAATAATTCCTATCTGGTGTTAAGTTTTAAGAGAAATGTAGCTGTCAGTAAAGTCTATCGATAAATTACTTTTAGATATGTAGAAACAGACTCCCTCCACCTCCTGGACAAGCTGAATGATACCAGTTCCATTTTCCTGTTTGTTCCTTGGTAAATGTAGTGGCTGAAGCTAGAGGATTCAGTCACTTTGAATTGCATTCAAATTTAAAGACAAATTTATCCTTTTGTAGCATGCATTAATACAATGCTTCTTCTTTAGAAACACTTATAAAATTGAAAAAAAATCATCTAAATATTAAATTCAGTGACAATATTTAGGAGCTGATTTGCAACCACTTTGAGTTGAGAAAGACTGTTAACATACATGTTTTTACCTTGTTTTGTTAGCAACAACAGCATTAGTTTCCATTTAGTATTTGTAAAGCACATCCACATAGAAATACAAGTGTGCAGCACGCACACAGCATGTGTATTGCATGCAAGGTTTGCAAGTAGAATACACAAAGCACACAGCAATAATGCTGTAGACTTATCCTGCTGCACAGAAACATTTTCCCTTCTTAGGTATCAATCCATTTACAGATTAAACACTATGCACAACAGAATGCAGAATATCAGTATGTAATGGATCCTGGACCATGACGGATTTTAAACAATCAAGTAATAAGCATTTATACACCTGACCCTTGAGCCAGATAATAAAGTTCTAAAATTGAGATAAAGATGATCACCATTCTGCAGAATTTAGTGTTTAGGATTATTTACATAAACGTTTTAAAATAATATTAAAGTAAACATTAAATGAGCTCTTCTAAGGAGACATTCACGTGGAAAAATCAACGCAGTAGAATTTAGCACTTTATACATGTAAGTCTCTATTTTAGCTGGAAAGTTATTAGTGTCTTGAAAATCACATTACATGTACGTCACATGATGATCGTATACTGCATTTAAAATAGTACGCTAGGAATCCAACAGATACATTTTATAACAATATTTATTAGCACAAAGCTAAATAGCTGGTAACAGCAACAACTATCTAAGGGCAACAGTGAACAATGTTTCAAACTTTAATCCTAAATACTACCAGGTTCCAAAATAAAGTAATCTATATTTTTAAAGAGAATTTGAAGGAAATATATATTCTCCTAGCGGACTAGGGTTGCACTGTATTTCAGTTACCCTTTGTATCAGTAATGGGGGAAACAAATGGCAAGCTAAACTTATACCGTTTAAAACAATCCAAATACACTTCTCTTTCGCTATCCATACATTCAAATTCAAAGGTGCAATTGTTAATATTTTATACACACACACACACACACACACACACACACACACACACACACACACACACACTATGAAGTTCATATTTTTCCTATTATACCACAAAAATGCTCTAAAAGCACCATGGGGGATAATACCAATCAAAGAAGAAGAAAAGAACAGCCATACTTGATCAGACCAAAGGTCAATCTAGCCCAATATCCTGACTTCCAACAGCAGCCAATGCCAGGTACCCCAGAAAGAATCAACAGAACAGGAAACCATTAAGTGATCCATTCCTTGTCACCCACTCCTAGCTTCTGACAAACAAACAGAGGCTAGGGACACCATCCCTGCCCATCCTGGCTAATAGCCATTGATGGATCTATCTTCCAAATGTATCTAGCTCTTTTTTGAGTCCTGGCCTTCACAACATGCTCTGGCAAGAAGTTCCAGAAGTTGACTGTGCACTGCATGACAAAATATTTCCTTCTGTTTAGAACATAACATAAGAACATAAGAACGGCCGTACTGGGTCAGACCAAAGGTCCATCTAGCCCAGTATCCTGTCTACCGACAGTGGCCAGCACCAGGTGCCCCAGAGAGGGTGGACCAAAGACAATGATCAAGCGATTTGTCTCCTGCCATCCCTCTCCAGCCTCTGACAAACAGAGGCCAAGAATCTATCAAACTTTTTTTTTTTTTAAACCCGGTTAAAGTCCTAGTCTTCACAACATCCACAGATTGAACAAGGAGTTCCACACGTTGACTGAGCACTGAGTAAAGAAAAACTTCCTTTTGTTTGTTTTAAACCTACTGACTATTAATTTCATTTGGTGACCCCTAGTTCTTATATTGTGGGAACAAGTAGGTAACTTTTCCATATTCACTTTTTCCACACCAGTCATGATTTTATAGACCTCTATCATATCCCCCCTCAGTCTCCTCTTTTCTAAACTGAAAAGTCCCAGTCTCTTTAGCCTCTCCTCATATGGGACCCGTTCCAAACCCCTAATCATTTTAGTTGCCCTTTTCTGAACCCTTTCCAAGGCCAAAATTTCTTTTTTGAGATGAGGAGACCACATCTGTACACAGTATTCAAGATGTGGGCGTACCATAGTTTTATACAGGGACAGTAAAATGTTCTGGGTCTTATTTTCTATCCCTTTTCTAATAATTCCTAGAATCCTATTTGCCTTTTTGCCCGCCGCTGCACTCTGTGTGGAAGTTTTCAGAGAACTATCCACGATAACTCCAAGATCTCTTTCCTGATTTGTCGTAGCCAAATTAGCCCCCATCATACTGTACGTATAGTTGGGGTTATTTTTCCCGATGTGCATTACTTTACACTTATCCACATTAAATTTCATTTGCCATTTTGTTGCCCAATCACTCAGTTTGGTGAGATCTTCTTGGAGTCCCTCACAGTCTGCTTCTGTCTTGACTATCCTAAACAGTTTGGTATCATCTGCAAACTTTACTACCTCACTGCTTACCCCTTTCTCCAGATCATTTATGAATAAGTTGAAAAGGATTGGTCCCAGGACTGACCCTTGGGGTACACCACTAGTTACCCCTCTCCAATCTGAAAATTTACCATTTATTCCTACCCTTTGTTTCCTGTCTTTTAACCAGTTCTCAATCCAAGAAAG